CCCCGCCCCCGCCGCCCTTGGATGTGAACTGCGCACTTTCCTGGCCAGCCCAGGGGAACAGGGGGAAAGGCTTCAGCACAGCCCTGCACAGAGGGAGCTCCTCTACTCACTGCCTCACTCACGAGCCAGGAAACATGCTACAAACTGTAGAGTGGAAGCACCAGGTTCAGCCTACCACACCCTCACAGGTAAACATCACACAAGCACAAATCCGCGTTGCTCACTGCTGTATCCCCGGCGCCTAGCTCAGTGCTTGGTGTGTGGCTGGTGCGCAATAAATATTTATTCAACAAATAAAATGAGTCATCATCATCATTTTTAGGGGTTCCCAGATCCAGAAGGAAGGGAAAAGCAGGATCCCAAACAAAGACGGATGAAGCCCGCGCCGTGTGGCCAAGCCCTGTGTTAGGCACTTTCCAAGCTACCCTTGGAACCAACCCCAGGCTTCTAGGTGAGACAGGGTGGCCCATGCCATTTGACAGACAGGGAAACTGAGGTTCAGAGAGAAGTGAGTGGTCCAAGGTGACACTGTGGTGGGCAGAACTGCTATTCAAAGCCAGGTCAGCGTCTGTCGAGACCGTGCTCTCAGCGGCGTGCCCCAAGGCCACCCTAGTGACCCAACCCCAAACCGCGACCCCTACCTGTTTGCCAGCTGGATGCCGCTCAGCGTGGCGGAGCCATCACGGCTCACGAACAGCCGGAGATTGCTGTCTGTGGGGACACAGGCGGGGACGGAAGCTGAGTGGGGCAGGGGCAGCCGGGGCGGCCCCGGAGCAGGTAGCACTGTCCCCCAGGCCTCCCCGCACGGGCAGCTCACCCTCAGTGTTGCTGCCGTCCGTAAAGTCCTGGCTTTGCATGATCTTCTCCACGATGTCGTCCGCGTCGATCCGAGTGTCATCCACCCAGGTCGGGTGGCTCTCCACAGAGTCCTTCTTCCGCCTGGAGTGGGTCAAGGCAGAGTCACAGCGGTCGGGCCGGGGACAGGTACAAGGATGACAGTGGGGAGCACCTACAGCTCAGGCTGCTCTGAGTGCGCGTGAGGACCTATTCCCAGTCGCGCTCTTTTGACCCTCACTCAGCCCCCAGGGCAGGTGCCGTGGCCCGGTTTTATGGATGAGGACCTGGAGGCCCTGGGAGGTTACCTAACCTTAGCCTGAGAGGCCGCACTGCGTGTAAACGGGGGACTTAGGTCCCTAAGCCACACACAACAGCGTGTGCCTGCCCGGCCCAGGCCGTGCCCTTCAGGTCCACCCACTGGCTGAATCATCACCATCCAGCCCTCCGAGCGGGACCTCGCTGTCCCCATGCTACGGGTAAAGGAGCAGAGGTTCAGGGAGCCCCCAGGAGCATGGGGCCGGCGTGCTCACCGGAACGAGCGGTCGGACAGGTGGGGCCGTGGCGGCCGCGGGGGCTTCTCGGGGGGCCGGTGCTCCCGCTCGCTGCCCTCGGGGCCCTCCACAGTCATGCTGAGGCCGCCGGAGGCGCTGCTGCTGGTGGACGTGTTGCGGCGGTGCGTCAAGTCTGAGAGGCTGGAGGAGCGGGAGTGCTCCGTGCTGCAGCCTGCTGGGCATTCGGGGAGGCTCGTTACGGGCGGGGGGCGGGGGGGCGGCCGGGGCTGCGAAAGGCCACGGGCACGGGGCCAGGCGGGCACTCACCAGAGATCTTGGACTGCTGGCTAGCATAGCTGGAGTTGCGGGAGTGGCCGGAGTGGAACACCTCCTCGGGGCTGGACAGGTTCTGTTCGGCCTCCTCCGGCACCCCTGGGGAGCGGGGAGACGGCAGGCTTAGCAGCGGGCCGGCCTGGAGTCGGCGAGGGTGGGAGGTGGGGGCCGGGGGAGGGTACGCTCTGTGTTTCCCATTTAACAGACAAAAACCTGAGGCCCTGCTCCCACCGCAGTCCACCCCCACGGCCCAGGTTTGTTCATTCCACAAATATCTGAGGACGTCCTCTGCACGGGGCACTCCGCTGGGCGCTGTAAATAGGAGATGGGGTGTCCCAGGCCAGCGGGAAGGGAGAACGTTGAACCAAAAATGACCCACAATTAACCACAACTGAGGTGAGCAGTACAGAGCAGGGAGCAGTGTGGATGGGGGTCTGACCCAGTCTGGGATCAGGGAAGACTTCTCTGAGGAGGTCGCCTTACTGGGAGGCCTTCAGGAGGCTTGGGAGGGAACAAGCCACAGAAGGCATCAGGAAAAGGGCCTTCCAAACAGAGGAAGAGCAGAAGCAAAGGCCTGAGGCTTGAATGAGTTTAGGTCAGTGTGGCTGGAGTGGAAGGCATAAGGGGAATGGGGAGTGGCAACAGTCCTGTCCCAAGTCACCCATGAGCCCAACTTCGAAACAAACTTCCCGGCACTCGCCAGCAGGAGGCGCAAGGGACCCAGGGGGATCCACTCTGGGCCCACCAGTTCTTGTCATAGGAATAACTCATCTCAACCATTCCCCTCCTCAGAGAAGAACACACCATCTATGCTGGGGTGGCCTGGTGTCCCTCACCGCCCCCCCGCCGGAAGCTGGAGAGAGCAGTGGTGTTTGGAAGCCCTGGTTTTCATGAGCAGTCACCAGGCTGAGGCACCCCCAGCTTTCAGCTCCGGACCTTACCTGGCTGAGCTACAGGAAAAATGGGAGGTCAGGGCCCTCACTGCTCCCAGCCGTCCTGGGGGCAGAATCGCTCCGCAAACATCCGCTGAGACGCCGGAGGCCCCGCACCCTCTCTAACTGCTCTCGTGGTGCAAATTAGGGTGACTCGTCAGCTCGGGGGCAGTCTGCCTCCCAACGCCGAGCTCACCCCCCAGGGACAGAGTATGGGGGCCCCACCTCTAGACCCAGCGTGGCAGGGGAGGCTGGAGCCTTCCCCTGTAGCACCTCCTATCTTAATCTCCATGAGGTCTCTTCTGGGGGTTCAGATGTTTGCATTTATTTTTAAGATTTTATTTATTTGACAGAGAGAGACACAGCAAGAGAGGGAACACGAGCTGGGGGAGTGGGGGAGGGAGAAGCAGGCTCAATCCCAGGACCCTGGGATCATGACTTGAGCCGAAGGCAGACGCTTAACAACTGAGCCACCAGGCACCCTCAGACGTTTGCATTTTTTATAACGTTCATAATAATGACAACTTAGTAGAAACCCAGCGCTGGGAAATACATGGAGTTCGTACTGTGTGCCAGACAAGGCACACACGTGTGCTCAGCTCAGCTCCACGGCCACCCGGGCTGTGGTTTACGGTTTCTGTCCCCTTAGTCAGGGGAGGATGCCGAGACTGGGCACACACAACGGGCCAGTCCTGGCGGCGCAGCCAGTGGGAGAGTGAGAGCTCACAGCACAACCCTCTGCCAGGAACACTGCCCCCCACAGCTCAGAATCAGCTCAAGTGCCACCTCTTCATGCCTGTCACCGCTCCTGTCACACCTGTAGGTGATGTGGACTTATTTACTGCCTGATTGACTCCTGTCTCTCCTGCAAGACGGGGCCTCAAGGTCAGGGCACCGCTGTGCTCCTGGGGCCCAGCATGTGGGAAGGGCTCGGACGTGGGCCTAGCGGAGGCATGGACGGGCGTAAACACCATCCCACCACCTGTCTTCTCAGCAAGCAACCCCCTAGGGACCTGGGGATACGGAGATGAGCCTTGGGCCACGGGGAGGAGCAGGGAGGGCAGGAGGGGAATGGTACCTGAGCTGAGGATGGTGGGCCTCGCCTTGGGGGGCCGGGAGCCACTGCCGCTGCCGCTGGTCCCACCGCCCTTGCGCGTCAGCTGCAGGGAGGAGTCCTGACCCGGAATGGAGATGGACTTGGCGGTGGATGGTGGCCTTGGGAGGACAGATGGCTGTGACTGGGGTGCCCCACATTCGGGGTCAAAGACAGGGGAGCCCAAGAGCCTGGAGGAGGGAAGAGTCCCTGTGTAGCACCCTCCCAGCCTGCGCCCACACTCACGTCTTAAAGCAGGGGTCTCCGGAGAGCAGGAGCATTCCGATGGTGACCTGCACAGAGGGAGAAATCAGCCATACCACACCCACCTGCAGCCCAGGTGCCTCCCAGTGGCCCCTCTGCTCTGGCTTCCGAGGGGCTGGACTCTGATCCCATCTCTGCCCCTTGCTGGACCTGGGGAAGCCATCGAAATGCACTGAGCCCGTCTCCTTGGGTGGAGGATAGGACCAATCCTGACACCTGCCTCCTGGGATAGTGGGGAGGACTAGGGGAGATGAGGCTTTGCATGGCTCAGCGCCCAGCACACAGCACAAGCAGAAGTTAGCTACTGTTATTCTAGAACCGCAACTAGGAGAGGGGCCACAGTCCCTCTCCAGCCTCAGGGCCTGCTCACAGCCTAAGAGCAAGCGAGGGCACACGAGCTCCATATGGCAGGCGGGCAGGAGGGAGGCTCACAAAGCCCACCTAGTGGGGAGGGGGTTCACCAGGTATAACCCAGGGGGCAGGGGTGGGAGATGGACTACACAGAGTCCAACATGGAGGGTGGAGGTGTGGTGAAAGTTAGTTCAGTAAAGTAAAGCAAGAAGCCATCAGAAATTCAACATCCACTTGGGCAGAGATTTTGGCAATGGCCCAAACAAGGCAGGGTTGGGTCCCCAAGTCTGGGCTGAGATGGAGCGACAGGAAACGGATGCTCATATCCCAGTGCCACCACTGACAAAAATGGAGATCACTGAGCTGAGACTTTTTTTAAGATTTATTTATTTTAGAGAGAAAGAGCAAGAGAGAATGTACATGAGCAGGGAAGGGGCAGAGGGAGAGAGAAACTCAAGCTGACTCCAAGCCCATGGTGGAGCCTGACATGGGGCTCAATCCCACGACCCTGAGAGATCATGACCTGAGCCGAAACCAAGAGTCTGACGCTTAACCGACTGAGCCACCCAGGAGCCCCCCAGCCCCCATTTTTGTAGTAAACTCTACGTCCAACCTTGGAGCTTGAATTCATGACCATGAGATCAAGAGTCGCATGTTCTACTGACTGAGCAGCCAGGCGCCTCCTGAGGTTTTTTGGGGTTTTTTTAATGATTTCATTTGGCTGTGACAGCAGCCTACAAGTAGGTGATGGCCCCAGGCTGTAGACGAGGGAAGCAGCACTCAGACACAGACTCAAGGGAAGTGATGGCCCACAGCCCCGCAGACAGGACGTGGGGAAGCTGACCTTGCAGCTGAGGCCACCTGCATCCCCCTCACGCCGCGATTTGCCTAGGGGTACACAGGGCCACTGGGGCGAGACCGAAAGGCCCTAGCCCCCACCAAAATTAGCCTGGACCTTTTTGGATGTCTCTGGTTCCCTCTGTGAAGGGTCCAGGAGGCTGCAGAGCCCCCGTCCGTCACCTGCTGCCTGGCTCTGCTTTAGGCACAAGACGCTCCCGCTGGGTCAGCTTGTAGAGGTGTGGTTAGGACAAGACTGTTTTCTCAGCCAGGTGGAAGGGTGGGGGACAGGGAAGAGAGGTGTGCTGGCAGCGGCGGATGCCCAGATACCTCCGTCCTAAAAGGGCCGAGAGCCAGCTGCCTGGAGGGAGGGAGCTGCCCCGGCCACTGGAAGGCTGCACGTAGCTGGGCTCTAGGAACAGCCACCCTCAGTTTGCCCGGGTCAAGGGACAACAGGTTCTTCCACTCACTGATCCTCCACTGCAAGCCCAGGCAGCCTCATGTCACATGGGGCAATGGCTGGGAGCTGGACCGTGGAGTTGAACAGCTGGGGGTCAAGTGTCAGCTCTGCCTGTGACCTCAGGCAGATGATCTGTCTAACCTCTGTGCCTCAACCCCCTCCCATGCAAAACTGGGACCAAGAACAGACGCCCCATGGGCCTGTTGTCAGGCATCATGAGAGGAGAGGTGGCGAGCGCTCAGGGATGCTCATTTCATCAAACCCTTATAGAGAGTCCTGGGATCCACCCCTGATCCCAGATTAAAGATGGGGAAACTGAGGCCAGTGGCAGAGCCAGGCTTCTGAGGGTGGTTTCCTGACCCCAGAACCACATCTTCCCAGTGTCTGGGATGGGAACCTGTATTTTTTTTTTTAAAAGGTTTTTTTTTTTTATCTGTATTTATTGAGAGAGAGAGAGCATGAGAGGGAGGAGGGTCAGAGAGAGAAGCAGACCCCCTGCTGAGCAGGGAGCCCAATGCGGGACTCGATCCTGGGACTCCAGGATCATGACCTGAGCCGAAGGCAGTCGCTTAACCAACTGAGCCACCCAGGCGCCCCTGGGAACCTGTATTTTTCACAACCCTCCAGGGGACTCTGAGGAGGAGCAGGTTGGCCCCCGCCCCTTGGTGGGAGGGGGCAGAGAGGTGGCAGGGCCCTGGTACCTTGAGGATGGAGTTGTCCTGACGAGTGTTCTTCGTGTCATATCCCTCCAGCAGGCAGCAGCGCACTGTGGAGCCTGAGCCTGCGAATTCGGCCAGGTTCAAGTCGGCGAAGCCCAGCTGAGAGGGACAGAAGAGAGTGTGGGAGGCTGCAGGGGGTGTGGGCATCCAGCGGGCAGCATAAGGGTTAACTTGGGGGGGGCAGGGGCAGGCAGATCCCCTGGGCCCGCCCCACAGCCCAGACTGAGTGTTGCATAATGGCACCCAAGGACAGAGGCTGGTCTGGAGCTCACATCCCTGAGCCGCACAAAGCGCCCTTTGTGCCACGTCCCAGCGTGCACTGGGGCAGCGCCGGAGATGAAAGGACATTGTTGTCTGTGACACAGAAGCATTGTTCCCTGGGACACAAGGCCGTGCTGTGGGAGCCGCCAGGCCAGCAGGCAGCGGGGAGGGAAGGCCCGTGGGAACTTGGTATGGGGGTGGGGGCGGGCAGGAGTCCCTCATGGAGGTTGGAGTGAGGGGCTGGCGGGAACACCTGGCTGCCCCCCGGAAACAGAGGGAGGCGCCAGGGATGCGGGGGTAAGTGGGAGCACATTCGAGAACAGGATGTAGGATCTGGGAAAGGCTTCGAAAGAAGCCAGGTCTCCAGACCTGGGGGGAGACTGAGTTAAGGTGGGGGGTGCTGGGATTAGGGTCTTGGGGAACAACCAAACCAACAGGTGGCATCTGAGCACCTACTACGTGCAAATCTCTACTGCAGAGTTTAGGGGCACACAAGCCAGAATCAGAGACTTGGCAGGTTCGAATCCCAGCCCTGCCATAGAGTCAGAGGGACCCCCATTTGGCAGGGAAGAGAACAAAGGTTCCGGGGGGTAAGTGACTTGTCCAGGGCCCCAGGCAGCCCAGCCAGCAGAGCCAGGCCCAAGATGAGGCCCAACCAGCGTCCAGTCTAGCTGCCCCTCTGGGCCCCAGCTTCCTTCCCTGAAGAATGGGAGCAGGGCCGGTCAAGGGCGTTTGATCACAGGACAGAAGGGAAGGGCCTGCAGGGCTGACACGTGCTGGGAGCCTAGTAAGTGCCCGCTGGGTGGAGGTGGGGGCTGCAGCTATCCACGCCCATGTGACTTCATGGGAGGAGAAATTTCCACTCTGGTGGCACCTTCCACAGCCCAGTTCTAGCCACCCTGCCCTCTGTTTCTGGAGAGGGCCACCAGCGCCCAGGCTGGGGCAGAGCGGACAGCCCAGAACACCGAGCTTCCTGAGCTCCGGTCAGTGGGAAGGGACACGCCTTCCACGCAGGGCGAGGTGAGGCAAAGGCATTTCCCCTCCGGACGGACTAAGCCCACCCCCTGCCGCCAGGCCGCCTCCCTGGGGCCACAGAGGGTGGGCTGTGAGTCCCCACCGAGAAGGGGGTCTAGGGCAGAGTGGGCTTATTCAGAGCCAGTGCCAACCCCTGCAGAACCGCCTTCTCCTGCTGGTCCCCGTGAGTGCCGAGCAGATGGCAACAACACAGATGGGCCACAGCACAGGACCGGCTGGGCACCCACCACCCAGCAGCACAGGGGGGCACTGCCACGGTTAGAAAGCAAAAGGAAATCTGCGAAAACGTGCCCACGGTGTACTGGCAAGTGAAAACCACGCTGCAGAATCTGTTCAGAACAAGTCCCTTTTGTGGGTGTAAAAATCCTACTGTCTGTGTGCACACAAGTCCACACACGGGTGCTCATTTTCCGTTCCTCTAAACCGCATGCAAATGGGTTTGATGCGCAGCTCTGTGTGTCATAATTTTCTTTTTCTTAAAAGTTCCGGGATGGGGCACCTGGGTGGCTCAGATGGTTGGGCGTCTGCCTTCGGCTCAGGTCATGATCCCAGGGTTCTGGGATCGAGTCCCGCATCGGGCTCCCTGCTAGGCGGGGAGCCTGCTTCTCCCTCTGCCTCTGCCTCTCTCTCTCTCTCTCTGAC